AGAATACCACTAAAATGTTAACTTTGGGAAATAACATCGCAGAGTTTTACACATTTCTAGTGATCTTATCACAGTGGTATCTAGATGCCAAGTTCTTTTTCTACCTTCCATTCAATATGGTATTTGTACAAGTCTTCCTCTGAGGGAATAACCATATCTTTGGCTAAAGATGTCACTGCAGCATTAATTTTTTTATTAGAAGCTCTTTTATCTCTCAAGCCTGGAAAGCTTCTCTCTCTCAAGGGGGATAGTGGCGTACAGAACAGCTGCTGCCCCATCTTCCCCACTCCATCTCACCAGTTCCTGATTGTACAGAAGGCCATCCAATGTCTGTGAGAGCAGGGAGAGTCTGCAACAGTTTTACCTCTTCCCTATCCTCAGGGTTAAAAGGCTTCTCAGGAGCACGGTGCTACCCTCCACTCTGTATAGCTGAGTCACTCTCAACTACCTTTCAAAGTTCAGATATGACAAATATTTAATTACCTTTGACTTTTTACAGACTCGTTTGTTGCATTTAAAATATTTTAAAGTAGTCAATATAAGCAAAGATAATATTTTCACAGGACTGAATTTAAAAAAAGCTACTTAGCACTAACTCAGAAAAAAGTTCTCTTTTTGGATTTTTTGCTTCACTAACTTCTTATCAGTGAATTTATTTGCATAACAGAAACAATGTCAGACAACTAATTTATGCAAATAAATGGATCAATAACTCAACTTCAATATAATTTAAATTGCAGTTTACAAAATAAGAACAAAAAGCTGTTAGGCTACAATCACAAGCATGCCTAAGAACATAAAGGAAGAGTGAAGAGAAAGAAAGTCTTGTTTGTAATGTTAATATTTGCAGCTTAATGATGCAGATAAAAGAATATTTTGCTACACTGCTGAATCCAACAATTGGATATTTCAAAATCCTGTGTAGGCACCATGGCCACAAAATGTGAAGTCCTATGTTTTGAAGCAGTTTTACCAGTTCTCATAACCTCAAATACTGCAAGACTTGCAATGAAATTATCTTAAAATCTTCAGCTACTGGAGCTGTACACTTAAATGAAAATCTCAGCTCTCATCTACAACAAAAAGTAAAGTGCTAGCCCTCACAGTTGCAGAGGAGCCCTAAAAGCTGAAAAGTCAGAAGGCAAAGAAAAAACCCAAGATTTATTATTAGTAAAATCTCATGATTTTTGAATTGCTTGATGTTAGCAACAATGTAAATTTATAAAAGTTCACTAAAATTTGCAAATACACCAGTTGATCTAAGATGTCTGTGATAAGGTAGTGTTTCTGCAGCAGTTATTGTGCTTATATAAACATGCTAAGGTTCTAAGAGTTGCATTCTTTCATATCTATAGCAGGTTTTACTTAGTCTACAATAATCTTCTGTGTTAAATGCTTTGCTAAAATATAGTGATTTTTTTAAAACTGTGAGACAAGATGCCTCCTACTACAAAGCATGTTCCCAAAAGGGTGAATAATTGAACCTTCTAACTTGATAACATATTATTCCTCTGTCGTTTTCAATACAACAGAAATGGCAAGTCCTGGAAGCTTTCAAAAATAAGCAAGCATAAAGAAACAAACCAGAGTAGCTGAATATAATACTCTACATGCAGTAAAGTAAGACCACTAGGGAAATTTATCACAGAAGGCTTCAGAAAATAATCACAGAACAGTGTGCATGCCAGTGATAGATACTATCCCAATACCAAATCAATATATCTTTGCAACAAACAATATGTACCTTTTAACAGTCATAATCCATCACTGCATATCATGCTGACCAATACAGTCTCATTGTTTAGCTGGGCTCTCTTGTCTGTCTATGTCCATCTGTTGTCTCTTGTATCAATCTTAGATTGTAAGCTCCTTAGGGCAGGGACAGTCTAGCTGGGAGCTCAAGGGCCGTGCAAGACGGTCCCATGGGCCGGATGTGGCCGGCGGGCAGTAGTTTGCCCATGGCTGCACTAGACCGTGCTGCCTTTCAATTATTGCTCTAAAAATACAAGTAACACCAGTTATTCAAACCCAGTTCTCCAAAACACTGATTATCTGAAATTATAAAACATCCCCTTAACACCAGAATTTCATTCTTCAAAATTTGACTGTTCTCAAGTCACTTGGGTAAGGGAGGATTTACCTGCAACCTTTGTAGAAACAATGTAGACAAGACAATCAAAGTTACAAAAAAAAAAAAACCAGTATTGTTGAGTCAACAAAACAAAAATCTGTTCACAGGCAGTGATCAAACTATAATTAAAATAAAACAACATCCTCATGAAAGTAATACCTCACCAAAAGCAGATCAGTGTTATTTGAATTGCAGTAGCACCTAGAGGCTCCAATCAAGGATTGGGGCTCCAGTATATTATGCACTATACACACACACACACAATCAGTGCTTAAAGCAACCTGAAAAAAAGTGTGTGGAGTGTCTCATTACCCACACATCTACCCATGCTCCCTGCCTAGCAATTGCAGCCCAAAAATCAATCCTGCCCTTTACAGTCCACCATCAGTTCTGCACTTCAAACCCATATTAATGTTACTCCTATCAGTTCTGCCTAAAATATGAAGAGAGCAAGTATAACAAGACCTGAAAAAAGGCACTGACTGATGAGACTGATAAGAAAGCTGAGGAATTAAGACATCATCATAGAGTATGGGGGGAAATTCAATAGCAGAAAATAAAGTAATTCATGCATCAAAAATCTCAGACAACTAAAATGTTACTACTGTTCTCCACAAGAAAGGTGACAACATCTAACTGCAGACTAGTGATTCAGTAGCAAATGACTTGAGAAAAATAACTGAGCACAACAAAACTTACATTAGCATGTAGGAAATAATATAAAAAAATATTGTTTGTTTTGTTTTAAGAGACTAATGTATGTTGTAATGTGAGGATTCAGACAGGACTCTCGCTTTCAGGTGCTTTTTATTATTATCAAATATTTATATTATTGTAGCCATCTAAATGCCTCAGGCAGGATTGGAGCCCTATTGTGCTAGGTGTTGTACAAACAAGAACTACTCACTTTAGTAAAGTTAAGCATCCATGTATGTGTTTGCTGGATCAGGGCCCTAAGAAGATAAGTTGACAATAGGAAAGATAGAGCAAGAGGGATACAATCATAATATAAAATATACTTTTACATATATACACACATAAAAATGGAATTTCTTAAATTATTATAAACAGACAAAGCATCAACTATCTCCATCTAGAACTCAACCCAGTCCTCACTAAATTGATTAATTTTTCATAGGTATCAGTGCCTATGCGCAAGGACCAGCACAGAAGAAGGTACACAGACCTTGGGGTGAGAAGCTGACATCACTGGCAAAGAGGAATAGGTGGGGACGGGGGGAAGAGACAATGTGATATAATAGATAAGAATATTGGAGACAAAAATACATCATTGTGTGATATAGAGAGGATGCCACTTCTGCTACAGGCTGGGTGCCATTCCAGCTCTTTTTCCCCACACTTATAGCCCACCCAGCATGAGAGGGGAAATTTCCTCCATAGTATCAAATTACAAAAGCTTCCACTGGATAAACATATATACCCCGGACAGTTTTATTACAATGAGAAACCATTTCATAAAAAAGCTTATCAAGTATAGATAAAAGTTACTTTCAACAATATAAGGACTACAATTAGATAGACATACAAACATCTTTTCAAGGCAAAAAAGTATGTCCCTGGAACAGCTGTGCAGGTCACAGAGAAAGGAGAAAAGAAAGTCAAGAAGAGTCCAAGGCCAGGTTGAAAAGCAGCTAGTAAAATGAAAGATATGAAAATGAGCCTTTTTCTTACCCTTTAGCCAGACAGTGTTCCAATAATGACATATTGTTGGAAACATGATCTTTAATCGTGAAAGGAAGAAAAAATTTTGCCATCATGCAGAAAAGAAACTACTGATTGTTATGAGATAATGACCTAAAACACTGTATAACTACAAACTAGAGCTCTGATCCCTATTCTCTTGTACTTCCATTGGAATCAATAGGACAACTCACATAATTGCATTAGTAAACGTTGCAAGATCAGACCTTTAATAATTAGAACATTCAAAATTTAAAAAATAAGCCATAGCTAAAATTTATTACCAAAAGTACAGCAGATGGCCAAAAATGCAGGCCTAACAATACTGCCAAGCAGACCAGACCAAAAAAAAAAAAAAATTAGGGAACTGAAAAACATACTGAAAATTTTGAAGACAAGCATGGATTCAGAGAGCACTAAAGACAGCGGATAGATAAATTGGGAGAAAGCTAGCAGCTGGCTCTCCAATTACTGAGTATTGTATAAAAATATGTATTCAAATCAAAATCCTTCAGAACACTTATCCCCTCAAAGTTGACATCTGCAGTAGAGTCAAAAGAGATCTGGGTTTGAAACAATTATAATTTAAAACAATTAAGCAACAGTAACTAGACACTTTAGGGAACTGGAAGAGGAGGGTAAAATGAGAAACAAAAGCATAGTTAAATATTAAAATAATCTGTTACACAGTATTTTCTTAGGACTGTGAGACTGATCTCTCAAACAGTACCCCTCTTTATACTGCCAAGAAGCATGCAATAAACTCAAACAGCTCTGTTCCATGTCTGCATAATCATTGCTCTTGCTATAGAGTGAATATGAAGTTAGTCACTGATGGCTCTCTTTAATACCAACACTCAGAAAAAAAATATATGAAGTACAACTCATTAATGGAGAGGGCCATCTCAGGAATTTACTCAGCAAATAAACACTTGTAGGTCTATAGGGGTATACTATCCAATGCCAGTTTGTGTAAGTTTAACAAAATGATAGGGTAACACACCTATTTTATCTTGCCTCTATTTGTAATCATCCAAACAGTAAGAAGAATAAAACCAAGAAACATTAGAGACAGAAAACACAAGGTAACAGAAATAGGGGACTAAAATAAAAACTGGATGTTGTCAATATGGACAGCAACATTTCACAACAATATTTTAGGTCATACCTGAGTAGATATACAGCCCTTTCAATATCATTGAGTTCTTCATCAACTGTCAATCTCTCTATTTCTTCTGGTGTCTATCAAGTATGAAATACAAAATATGATTTTAAAATACCTTACTATTTCCCTGTTTTAGTTGTCTTATAACAACCCTTTCTCCCAACCTCCAGAGATAATTACATGGTTAATAGGAATTTAACCCTTACAATCTCAAATAAGGCTTAAAATACAGTCAGATAAATCTTTAGCCAGAAATATGTTAGTGACTCTAATAAGATTCTGTTCTAACAGTTATTCTTATAATATATATTTCATGCATATTTATAATTAACATAGACATATGAAAGTTACTGTAAACATCAACTACCTTTTCTCTATTTTTTCTTCCTTACGTTTTTGTTTATACCTAGAAACATTAAGGCTTTACTAAACAGAATTCAAGGATGTTAATTTCACCACAACTGAAAATAATTTTTAAAAATAAGGTGCTGCCTGAGCAGCCAGCTATGCACAAATACAAGCCTGAAATAATTCCAGATGGATTTTAAAGCATCATTCTGGTTTTAAAGTATATACCTTTAAACTCCTGCGCACCGGCCTTTCTATAATAGTAAGTTCCTGCAGGTCTTCTATGTACCCAAATAAATTGTTCTGACTAAAATCCATTTTGGAGGAGATGATTAAAGGATGCACGTAATAACTACAGCCCTTGGCAAACCATGATCCATCCAAGCCTCACATTGCATTCAGTAGGAGAGGAGTCCACGCAACACCCCCTTCCACCGATGCACTTGAGTGTCGAGCAATGACTGCCTCTTCCTCATAGGAAGCTGCTGAGCCCACACCACCCAGGAGGGGCCTCAGCAAACACAATGCGGCACCAGCACAACCTACTGCTGCTTCTCTGTGAGCATCACTCCACTCTCAACACAACCTCCTGGAAGGAAACTTTCTCCAGCTGCTTTACTTCCCTTAGTCCCTCCAGCGTCTGCAGGGAGCGGCAGGCACCAGCATATTCCCACCCTTTGCTCCGCGTGCCCTGCTGTAGGTTGAAGGGGGGCGGTTGCTTCGACTTTCTCCTCCACGCAGAAGTGATGCTCTTGTCTTCAGGCTGGGGGGAGGCGGAGGAGGAGGCAAGCTATGCCGGGGGCGGCGGCCCCTCTCCTCCGGTAGGCAGCAGCCCGTGGGTGTCGCCCCCTCAAGGGATCGGGTTGAAGGGCGCAGTTGTTTGTGGAGCCTCCACGTAAAGGGGGCAGATGGGGGCAAGTCCCCGAAACGGGGCAGGTTGGGGGGCAGTTGGTCCTTCTGCCGCAGGCCCCCCAAGAGCGGTGGATGGGGAGCAGTTCCTCCAAGAGGAGGTGTTGGCGGGCGCGATTAGGCCCCGCTCCCCTTGCGCATCCCCGGAGCCCCGGGTCGTTATCCGCCAGGGTAGGTCATCAGTGAGGGGGATGCGGTGCCATCGCCCCGGGACGGCCCTCGGGCAGGACAGTGGCTTTCCAGGCGCCGGGCTGCGCTCCCTTCTCCGGCGAGGCCCCCGCGAAGCGCAGAGCCGCCGCTCAACGACCGAGAGCAGGGCAGGAGCCGCCCCCAGCACCGCGGAGCTGGTCGCCGGGGCAACGCGCCGCTACAGCAGCCTTCGCGGAGCAAAAGAGTTGCCCGAGCACGGCAATATCCAAACGCGCTGGGGGATACGGGGAGGGGCGCCGGCGGCACCACCCCGCCGCAGGTCACCCCGGAATGCCAGGGCTCGATCTCCAGGAGAGAGGCGACCCCCGCCGGCCAGGAGCGGGGCTCCCGCTTGTCTCACACAGCCCCGTGTCAAGGCTCTCCTCACACCCGATGGCAGGGCTCTCGTCTATCTCACACCCACCCCCAGCCCTGTGTCAGGGCTCGCCTCCATATCACCCACACCCGATGACGGGGCTCTCCTCTAGCGCACACCCACACACACCTGTGTCTGGGTTCTTCTCCCTCACGCACCCCAGTGTCAGAGCTCTCTCCGCCATCTCACATTCACACACGCACCGTGTCGGGGCTCTTTCCTCGTTCGGTCTCATCCTCCTTCCCCCCACACATTGTCTAAGTCCCCCTCCCCGCCAAGAAAAATGTCAGGGCTCTTTCCTCCTCCCTCCCCCACCTCTCTCTCTCTCACACACACACACACACACACAGTGTCAAGGCTCTCACCTCCATCACACACCTCACAACCACACACAAATAACGTCAGAGCTCTCCACCATCACACACCCCTATTTCACGGCTCTCCTCCATGTCACACCCCCCTCATATCCAGTGTCAAAGCTCTCTCCTCCATCTCTCTTTCACATACACACACACAGTGTGAGAGCTCTCTCTTCCATCACACACACACACCCCAGTGTGGGGGCTCTCTTCCCACACACACACACAACACACCAGGGCTCTCTCCTCCAACACATGCACACACATAGAGCATGAGGGCTGTCGTATATTATATTATATATTATAGATCACTCCACCACCAGCAATAGGACTCATGTCCCCAATGGCACAGCTCTGACCCATCATACCCTTCTTCCCCCCAATGTCAGTACTCCTCCATCACACATCTAGTGTCCCATGCTCTGGGTGTCCCTAAATCTTGGACTGCCAGAAGCTAGGGCAGGACCATAGGGACTGGGTCACTCAATAAATTTCCCTGTTCTGTTCATTCCCTCTGAAACATCTAGCACCAGTCACTGTTGGAAGGCAGGATACTGAGCTAGCTAGGCCATTGGTCTGACCCAGTATGGCCATTCTTATTTTCAACGTCAGAGTGTTCCTCACAAGTAGGGCTCTGTGTCTGTCACAGAGGTCATGAAAATCACAGAATCCATCACTTCCACGACCTCCGTGACTTCTGCAGGGTGTGTGGCTGACTCTGGGGCCAGCTGCTCAGGTGGCCCCTGGGACAGTCACACCAGCCACTCCTGGAGTGGCCCAGTGGACAGCCACACCAGCTGCTGCTCTGATGACCCCCTTCAGTGGTCTCTGGCTGGCCAGCCAGAGCAGCCACTGTCTGCTGGCCCGGGCAGCGGTCCCCAGCCAGCTGGCCCGCTGACTGGAGTAGCTGCGGTCTACTGGCCCGGGCAGCTGGTGCCACTGGCCCCGGATGCTCCCCCCCCAGCAGCACCCCTCACAGACATCCCCCAGCAGTGGCCCAGTGCCGTCCCCCCACCCCCCGCAATTTTAATCACCGGTATTTTTAATATAAGACATGGACAGGTCACAGGCCGTGAACTTTTGTTTATTGCCCATGACCTGTCCATGACTTTTACTAAAAATACCCGACTAAGTCATAGCCTTATTCATAAGCCCTCTTCCTCCTATGTCAGGGCTGTTCTTCCATCTCACACCGGAGTGTCCCAATAAAAAGCCCAATGTCTGGTCTATTTCAAAATAGACCTTTATGAGTGAGATCAGATTTTCAGAAATGTTTGTGAAAGCGTGTCATGAAATATGCAGCAAATTCCTTTTATGCTAGAAGCTTTTAAAAGCTCCCTTAAAATTAATCTCCATTCAAGGAATTTATCTTCAGATAAACGGGACTTGGCACCAGGTCTGCAATGGAGAATGGAAGGGATCTCCAGTAATAATACCTTGTACTATTCAGCTCCTTATTTAATTTTTTCCCTTGGCTCTGGTTAGATACTGTTCATACTTAATCATACAATAATAAGGCAGAGTTTATTATTGTACTGCTTGATTTTTATAAGTACTCTCAACTTACAGTAAAATTTATCATTCTGCCTGACAGATACATATTTGGGTGGAGAGAAAGAATATTCAATATTATTTTGAAATAATAGCATCCTGTTTTTAGATATGGCTGATGGGCAAATTGCCAAACTGTCAGGGCTCTCTCCTCCATCACACTCACAGAAGATTGGAAGTGAGAAGAGAAGACAAAAAGACTTGCAGCAAGAAAAAAAAAAGAGAGGTGGGAAGGCTTGAGAATCACTAGTTGATTTAATTGGGACTCTCTACTAAAAAGAGCAGATAGACCTGTCACCAGAGCTGAGTTGAAGAACAGAAGGGTGTGTTGTCTGCCGGTATCTAAGATACAGGATGGGGACCTGATGCTGAAGAAGATCCTAATGGGAGCAGAAAAGAACCACGGTTTGTGCTTCACATGGAAACAAATGATACTGCTACATTCTCACTGGGATGCATCAAGGAAGACTACATCAGGCTGGAGAAGATGCTTAAAGTAACAGAGGCCCAGGTGAACATCAGTGGGATTCTACCTATCACTAGAGAAGGAGAGCAAAGGCAAGACAAGATTATGATGATCAACAGATGGCTCAGGCAATGGTGCTATAAGGAGGGCTTTGGGATGCTCGATCATAGGGAGGCATTCATGATAGAAGTCTGTTCTCATGGGATGGACTCCACCTGAATTGAGTAGAAAGGATAATAGATGTCTGGGATGCAGGTTGGCATAACTTAATACAAGAGCTTTAAACTAGGAATCTGGGGGCGGGGATGATGACTGGGAGATGCTCTTGTAATCTCCATGCCTGACTCTAATATTGAGCAGAAGGAAAAGCAAATCAGAGTATACAGAAGTGGAGAAAGGAACTACAGAAGGTAGCAGAATGGACTATAGGAGGAAAGATAGTACCAATGACAGAAACAGTCAGGTAGGCAATACTGGCAGTAAAATAACTGTCCTAATCAGGCCAGGAATCTGGGTGAGGCCAAGCAGAACCAACAAAGATGTTTGTATACCACTACAAGGAGCCTGGGCCACAAAATGGAGGAACTAGAACTTGTAGTGCAGGAAATGAAATCAGATATTATAGCAGGGGTCGGCAACGTTCGGCACGCGGCTCGCCAGAGTAAGCACCCTGGCGGGCCGGGCCAGTTTTATTTATCTGCTGATGCGGCAGGTTCAGCCGATCGCGGCCCCCACTGGCCACGGTTCGCCGTCCCAGGCCAATGGGGGCGGGGAGAAGCGGCGCGGGCGAGCGATGTGCTGGCCGCAGCTTCTCGCCGCCCCCATTGGCCCGGGACGGCGAACCGCGGCCAGTGGAGGCCGCGATCGGCCGAACCTGCCGTGTCAGCAGGTAAATAAAACTGGCCCGGCCCGCCAGGGTGCTTACCCTGGTGAGCCGCGTGCCGAACGTTGCCGACCCCTGTATTATAGGGATAATGGAAATATGGTGGAATAGTAGTCATGACTAGCATACAGGTATTCCAGGTCAGTCTGCAAAATATCTTTGATGCCTGTACACAAATGCAAGGAGTATGGGGAACAAGCAGGATGAACTGAAAGTCATGGTATATGAAGAAAATTATGACTTAATTGGCATCATAGAGACTTGGTGGCACAACTTCCATAATTGGAGTATAGCACTGAGGGATCTAGCTTGTTCCGAAAGGATTGGTGTGGGAAAAGAGGAGGTGTGTGCTGACGTCAAGAATGTATACACTTGCTCCGCGGTCCAAGGGGAAGTGAGCAACAGACCTACTAAGAGTCTCTGGGTGAGGATAACAAGGGAAAAGAATAGTAACAACATTATGGTGGGGGTCTATTATAGCCATTCTACAAGCAGGTAACAAGATTAGCTAACACACATGAGCTAATATGAATTACTCCCAAGGGAATTCTGCATCAAAAAAATAAAAATTCTGCACACAATATTTTAAAATTCTGCAAAATTCTCCAAATTTTATTGGTCAATAAATAAATGTGGAGGCTCCAGCATGACACTGGGGAGCACAGGACACTGGCTGCACAAAGGTGAGAGATCACCCTGCAGCCCTCCCACCAGGACACAGACTCAGAGGTGAGGCTGCACCCGACACTAACACAGCACAAAGGCCAGGCCTGCCCCAGAAACACCCTGGGGC